GATTTCTGTAGCCAGCATGGCATGCGGCTGGCTCAGCATGTTGTGCCGGGGATCAAACCTGGGTCCTTGTGCTTGTCAGGCAGGTGCTTAGACCGCCGAGCTATCTCCCTGGCCCTAGACTGTATTTTTAAATGTAACCCAGAGTGGGGTTTTTGTCTCATTCCTGGCTTGGTGTCCTCTGTAGTCAGACTTTCCCAGTCCCTGTTTGGTATTGTCAGGTGGTTACAGCAAGACCTCCTCCGGGACATCTGGTAGGCGGTAACCTCACGCCCCTTCTGGGCACTGACTTAGATCTAACAGGTTCGGATGATGAGTTTGCTGATGTAATGAAAACTGAGTGCTCTGTTAACGCTGCCATCAGTGTGTTCTTCCTTTTGGACTTTGAAGGGAGAAGATTTGCCAGCGTTTGGCCACGAGGGCTCTGCTAACCAACCGTGTCTGCATCCCCAGAGTGGGAGCGGGGAGCTCACAAAGTAGCAGTCTGGAACTTGCATCTGATTTGGAAAAATGAAAAATTTTTTTGAGATGGGGCTTGGATGAGAATTTCTTTTAAGCCTCTGGCTTAGTAGTTCCATATTGCCATTCAATTCTTCTACTAAACTGGGGCTGGAGAATTTTATTTCAAAGGATTACTGAGAAATAGACCACATTATTCACCTTAATAGAAGATAGAATTTATTTAATTCTCTAAGAGTGAGTTCCTCCCTCCCTCTTTCTTTCTTCATCTGTGCCTCTCTCCTTTTCTCTTCATTCCTCTCTCATTTTCTCTCTCTTTTTCTGTTTTTCTCTCTTTTCTCCCTCTTGCACATGCACGGCAAATTTTAAATCGGAGTTTCCATTGGAGTTCTAAACATGGGAATTGTTTTTCTGTGATAACATGGTGGGAAAGGTATTGTTATGGTTTGCATCTAATTGTTCCCCCAAAGCCTCATGTAAGCTGGGGGAGCAACGAGTGGCTTGAGGTGCGAGGCCAGAGAGGCATGAACCATTAAACTGGCTAGCCTGTGCTTTCTCAGAGACGTGGAAAAGGCAGCATTCCAGCCTCTCCTCCAGACCCTATAGAGTGGGGGCAGAGTCTTGACACCTCCAGTAACTGTGAGTTAAGTAAACCTTTCCTTCCGTCATTTTGAGTGTTGAGTATTTGTCCCAGCAACAAGGGAAGAGTAACTAATACAGGTATCTAAAAAGAATCTGACCTTATAGACAGGGAAATAATTCTATCTTTATTTTGTTGATAAAGAAATGGGGTCACAGAGAATTTAATTAAGTGCCCAAAATGTCTGTGAGTTAGAAGTAGGATTTGGATCCCAGTTCTCTAACAAGACTCTAAACACCGTGAAACACTGTTGTTATAAAAGAAGAAATGGGCAGTTGACCCTTTCAGACTTTTTTGTTTTATATTTTAGGGAAGGGTCTACAGGGTGTTCAGGGTCTTACTACTAGATCAGACTTGTAGTGATCTGCCTGTTTACAGCCTCCCAAGAGCTGGGATTACAGGCGCGTGTCACCATGCCCAGTCTCAATTGCTGTCTCAAGCCCCGGCCCCTGCACCTGCTTGCAGGGGCTTTAATCACCTGAGCTATTTGGCGGGCCCTCCTTTCAGACTTTTTATTCTTACTAAGAAAGTTTCAACTGCAAGCACGGACCGATTAGCATTGCTTCTCTGGACAACAACATTTACATTAAGAATGGAGAAAGTGCTCATGTATAAAAAATCCTGGCTTCCCTGTTTTGACTTCCTGGATAATTTTTATAGGCAAATTGACCCTTGAAAGCCAAAATTTTTACCGTGGATTGCAAAGCAGATGGTGTGCCGGCTGCTGATACAGTTATTGTTCTTGATTTATTTATTTTTGGCCT